AGGGTTGGGGCGGAGGACCGGTGTTGGCGTAACCAACGCTACCGCAGCCAATATACTCGCCACAACTGCCGTGCATTATGGAGCTATAGGTGCCGCCCTGACCCAAGTCGTCCGCATTCTTGCACAGACCTATGGATCGGCCGGCGATCGGATTACTGTCTTCGATGGAGAACTTGTTTCTCACGATTTTGTTGACAAACGCCACACCACTCACGTCCGACACTATGTTTCCCAGATCTCCCGCATGGCTTTGCGGGTGATTCAGATTGCCGTGAGTGTTGTTACCCGGGTTATAGTGGCCGCCGATTGAGTAGCAACCGTTGGTCAGATCGCCGAACTGATGGATCGCCAGTCCGTACTTGTAATTGGGCACCAGATCTAACATTTGTAATATTGTTTTGTTATCCGTTATTAATCAATTTGATAACTAATAATCAAATATATAATTATAAGCTTATCATTACGTGTGATAACTCCCGATACTAGTACTATCTTGACATATATCTGACTTATAAACAGTGTTCCCCTAACAGGTGTCGGAGGTGTAGCCAAACTGCCTAACATTTAACAAGAATTAATTAAAATTCACATCAATTGATCGTTTCATTTCTACTTACCATCGATGACAACAACGGCTACAATAAACTTATTATCCCGATTAGACTGTTGATAGCCTTGCGGTGCCGTATAATTTGGTTGGGGTGTATTATACTGGACAGGGGGCAGGTTATAGGCCGTGTATAACATATTAGAGTATTCATTATATCTCTCGGGACTGAAATGTGATAAATAAAATAATAAACATGCTAAACTATTGCTTACCAATACCTCATATATTGGCTGACTTCGTTGTAAGAGTGCGGCTGAACGTATTTGCTGTAGTCGACGGGCGTCGGGTGCGAGTACTGGTCATTGCCATAATGCTGTGCATTATGTATGGGCCCATTGGGTCCGTGCGGGGTTTGCGGCCCATTGTTGTTATATATGGGTAACTCATGATTACCATTATAAATGGGAGCGTCCACTCCATGATACGACTGTGTGTTGTGATTATTTCCGTGTGGGTAAGGGGTCTGGCCGTTGCCGTTGCCCTGTGGTCTATAATGTTGGTTATTTCCATTTTGCGGCTGATTATGGTTACCCCCATAAGGCTGTGGTTGCGGCGGCCGGTTTGGGGCGTTTTGATACGGTGTCTGACCTCTATATGTGGGGCCATTGGGACGGGGATTGTGATGATTAGCGGGACCTTTATAGCCATATATGCTTCTATAGATTTCATATCCAATTTCATTAT